CGCAACCGACACCAGTGGCGCGTCTGCTGCCGTCTCCTAATCGGATTGCCTGTTTAAAGTGTGTTTGGTGCTGAGTTATCTGCGGGGTAATGGCCGATTATGACGCGTGGCAGTGAAAGCCGCAAGGAAGCTGTCTCGCCGATGCCGCCTTATCTTTACACGATAGCCAGCTGTTTGTGACGGTATGTTGTTAACACAAGGTGTAGGCGCCTTGACCCTGAATGTTTGCTTAGGGCATTAAGGTTTTCAGGTAAGTCCCCTTTCTCTCCCTCTTATTCTTTATTTCATAGGTCCTCATGGTTGTATGGCAGCGAAGCATCAGTTCAAATGGCTGATGTACTGCTGTTGATGATGATGATGAAAGGGTTATAAAAGCAAGCGATTTGGAGGCGATGGAGATCAGGTTGATCCCTCTATGGTTGCCGCATTCCGACCGTGAGCTTTCCTTGAAAATTGAGACTATGACGGAGCGGTTCCAGTCGGTTGGGACAGTTTCTCATGCTCCTACAGTTTTACTAGTAATTCGTATAAATCATCCACAAGAGCAGGTCCCCCGAATTGGAAGAGGGCTGGAGGAAGATCATCTGGTCCCGCGGCTTTATTTAACTTCAACACCGCGATAAAACACTTTCGATTTGTGAGCGAGAGGGTGGATCCAAAGAGAGCCCAGGGAGCGGAGCGGTCAGTGGTTGGCATGAAATCTAACAATTCCGACCGATAAAGTTGCCTTTCAAATGCTCAGCCCAACGCTTCAAGCGTGTTGACAAGTTGTGGATAGGCTGTTCACTTTCGTCACAAATTGTTTCACCAACACCGGGTCTTCTACTGCCCGGTTCCCGTATCAGACGGAATAACTTACGATGGTTACCAAGGGCAGCGCAATTTCCATCTCTGAAGCATGATGAGACCACCAGGATTCGCGGTCTCTCTCCAGGCTAGCACGGAGTTTTGCCCGGAGCTCTTTGCGAGTTTCATTAGTTGGCTTTCAGCCGGAATATGTCGGCGAGCATCGACAAGTTCCATAGGCTGCGAAGTGACCCAATGTCCATGTTGGTGATTATATATACCACATGAGGATTTTCCTGCTGCTAGTAAGGTCTGGTGAATATGAGACCAGTGAGCTTCAATTGCATCCAGTGAGTGCTTACTCAACTCGCATGACAGCGTACTTTGATAGGCATTCAGAACAGCTGGCTTTGCCAGTTGGCTGGTGTCAATGCAGTCACAACGTCATCGTGGGAGTCTACCAAAGCGCATCCGCAGGTCAGCACATAGAAGTGCATGATCGGTGTCCACACATGTGCTCCAAATCGAGCGGCAGTTCTGGACGCAGCCTATCCATCGGTAACTTATCGCAATGTGATCGATATGCGTCCGTAGCTGGTTCGAGGCTGGTGGGCGCCAAGTCACTCTCCGGCAGGTGCTGTGTTGGGAATTAGTGCTCGCAAGAAATAAGCGAGCATCCTCACACAAATGAAGTAACCGCTCACCGTTATCATTACGAGAGCCTACACCATGTTGGCCACCCAGATGCAGCTCATCCGTGGATAATTTTCCAACGAGCGTTCAGATTCACAGCCAGCCCTACATGGTCCGAGTTTCTTCTGTGGCTAAAGAGCTTGTTCATTTGACGATAGAAGTCGTCTTTTACCGAGTCATCGCTAGAGTTTGTCGGTGCATGGGCCTCAATAACGGATAGACACCTGTTAGTCCTGCGAGACTTCGAAGTTTTGAACGAGCCAGCCAATCGGACCGCACACATCCGGCTACTGATTGGAATCAAATCAACCAGAGTAGCTTCAGCCCGGGGACTCAGGGCAATACCAACACCGGCTTGGCCTGTGCTAGTAGCTGCATCGTCACCGGATAGGCGCGACGAGAAAGTGCAGCTAGTGTCACCTGAAGGGGATCGCAGAGTGAGCGCAGAACTCGAGTCTTGCAGGCGGGTCTCCGATAAGCAGCAGATATCGATCTAGAGGGTCTCTAATATTCGGGCAAGTGCTGCCTGTTGATCGATCTGAAGCAATGTGCAAACATTGAGGCATGCCAATCTGAAGGAGGATCGAAGGCTCCAAAGGGAAACCGATGGACTGGGCTTGACCGCTTGCTTGGACATGGGCCTGTTGACAGAGCATGAGTGACGCTCCGCGTTCACGTGTTGAAACTAAAAGACAAGCGATTATTGAAGCAAGGTGTGGGGGGGCGAGAATTGGGGGGTTGAAAACAGGGGGATAAAAATTAAGCTGGAACGGGACGATAAGGGTGAAAAAGCGTAAGAGGGAGAATAAGAAGACGGGGAGGTTTGAGCAGTAGCATCCAAACCCCTATCCACCCTGCTCGGTACAGCCGATAGGGCACCGTTGATTATCCTCTTGGTGGCCAGCGCATCATGAAACTGTTTGAAGTGAGATTCATTGTATTGCGTGGACAGGATACTGTCAGGTTGCCCAGACCTAGGCAGGAGAACGATTAGGGTCCTCAACCAAGCCTTTGGTTCAAAAACCTGGCGGCAAGGCAGCGGGTTCGGCGTTGGTCTACAAGGAGTCCGTTTTAAGGAATAAGGAACCACTCTCATTTTAACCCCCCACCTGGAGGACCAGGAGGCTGAGTTTGTCTGGCCTCTAACCATTGACCAATCTGGTATGAGTGGCTCTGAAGGTGCAAAATTGCACCACCCAGCATAGCTCGATGGGTCACTGAGGCACACAAACCATGGCACCACGGTAAGGTGCAGCCTCATTGCGAGGGTATGATTTCTGCATTCGGAACAGGATCCTCCCTTAAAAATTGGAACAATTACGGAGCGGCTCCAGTCTGTCAGAATCGTCTTCTGATCCTATAGATTCACTATTAGGTTACGTAAATCGTCCGAAAAATCTGGTCCCCCAAAGTTGATTAATACTGGATAATGTCTATCTGCTCCTGCAGCCTTGTTCAATTTCAGCCGTCCGACCTCATTTTCGAATACTGCGCGCGATGGCGCATCCAAGAGGACGGCCCGGAGAGTAGGGCGCTCATCGGGCGATGGAGAAACGGGTAACTCTGACTGACTAAACTGCTCCTCCGAGTGTTCGGCCCAACGCTCCAAGCGCTTTGACAAGCTGTGCATCTGCTGTCCACTCTCGTCGCATATGGTCTCGCTAACACCATGTTTCCTCTTATCCGTTTCTCGTATCAAATGGAATAACTTCCAATGTCTAGCGCTTCAGTGTGGCTCTCTCCCATCCCTACACTCCACGCCCGACGGTTTCATCCTGCTTTGGACTCATCAGGTATGGATAGCCGAGCTGGGAGCGAAACTCGGCGCATAATGCTTGGCAGCAATCACCATGATTTAGTTTACCACATGAAGACATACCTGCTGCTAATAATGTCTGGCGGATATTCCACCAGTGATCTTCAACTGTGTTCAATGGGCGTTTATTCAGCTCAGATGCTAGCGTACTTTGATATGCATTCAGAACATCTGGCTTCGCCAGCTGGTAAATGTCCACACGTTTACAGCGCTGTTACGGACGTCCACCGAAACACCCGGCGGTCGACGCAAACAAGTACGTGGTCCGCGTCTGCGCTCGTGCTCCCCATCGAGCGACAGTTTTGAACGCATCCTCTCCAGCGGGAACTGATCGCAATGTGACCGATTTGCGTCTATGGCTGGTCCAAGGCTGGTGGGTGCTATGTCGAAAGTTAGTGCTCATGAGAAAGTGACGATCATCTTCAAATAGGTGTAGCAACCGCTCATCGTTATCATTACGGGAGCCTACACCGTGTTGACCAAGCAGATGATGCTCATCAGTGGACAGTTTTCCGACTTGCGCGTTCAAGTCACCAGCAAGTACCACAGTATCCGTTCTTTTCTGTGAAGGGGGAACGCGTTTAATTTGTTACAGGTCGTCTTTCACCGAGTCATCGCTACAATTTGTGGGCGCATAGGCCACAATATCAAACAAACACCGTTTGTTTCCACGCAGCTTTAATGCTTTGAACCATCCAGCCAGTCTGACAACGCATATCCGACTGTTCATTGGGATCCAATCGATCAAGGTAGATGCAGCCAGAGGGCTAAGAGCAATGTTCACACTGGCTTGGTCAGGGTTCGCTGCTACGTCATCTGGACAGGCGCACTGCGAAAGTGCCGCCAGTGTCGCATGCTGTGGATCGTAGGGGGAGCACCAAGGTCAAATCTTGCAGGTGTTTTCGGGAATCAGGAGATGTCGATTGATCGGGTCTCTAATGTTCGTGCAAGTGTTATCTGTTGGCCAATCTGCAATAAAGTGCACATCTTGTGGCATGCTGGTCTTAGTGAGGATCGCAGACTAAGGAGAAACAGATGAGCTGACATTGTTCGCCTAGTTGAACATGGACTTGTCGACTGGACTGAACTAAACCCACGTGAAATTAAGTATACTGCGAGGGTCGCGCGGTCCCTACACAGTCTCGAACACGCGTCCTCGTATTACAAACCAACTCGGTATCCTTAAGGTTATAAGCCCGCACTACTGTTGGTCTGGCTAACAAAATATGTCTCTCTCCGCTAAGTAGTAATGATTGGGTATGTATTGCACCTCACAGAACCCATAAAACTTTTTTCGTCTGATTTGCTGGTCCGACAAGTCCACGCATCCAGAACCAGCTCTAGCAGGGAAGGGTGTGTGCATATGCAATGCGCGCTACTGACGATTCCCGAAGGGGATACAACGGACGTTCACTATGCTTTCCGATGTGCATTGGATGTCGTGCTGAATATTCCTAGAGAATATAATCCGTGTCATTTTCTTCATTACCCTCTTCAAATGCTCTTATCGTCATCGGCTGGTGCTCCTCTGCTCTCCAAATCTGCGGGCACGCCGGACCTGACCGGCATGTGCGGTGCTTTACAAACAGCATTGTCTATTCCATCTTAGTACTTCACGATGCAGTAGTTTGGATTCGCAATTTCCCAAGTAATCCGTTACTTTCCGAATTTCTGAATGCAGTGTTGTTTTCGCTTTTCTTCGTAGACGGGATACTTTCGATCATCTGGCCACGTGGTTGGAGGATGCCAGGCAATACGCTAGCTCCACCATGGTCATCACCTTAATCGGTAATAAATGCGACCTCGAGTCTCGCCGACAGGTCCTCCGTGAAGAGGGCGAGGAGTTTGCCCTCAAAAATGGCTTACTTTTCAGTGAAACTTCCGCAAAGACAGGAGTTAATGTTGAAGAGGTCTTCACCTCGACAGCGCGCGATGTTTATGAGCGGTTGCAAGCCGGTATCCTCGATGTCAACAACGAAGTAAGTGTTTTAACTGTTCTCTCTCGTCTGGATATCTCGATCTCTTCGTATATGCTTGCTGCTACTGTCGTTACTTCATTTACTGCCATCACACTATTCTTTGCCTGAACACAACTTGTTTTCCACACTCTACTCCGTAGCACTTTTTTGATGCACCGCTTTCTTATGGGGTCCCGAGCATTACAGCTTGCCATATTTGGCAACTGGAACTTGCTTTTGTGACCCCGAACTCTCGATGAATTGACGAACTTCTTCGCCTCTCTTCTTTACAATAATGTTCCTGCAGTTGACGTGTCGGAGCATGCAATATACCATCTTACTCTTTCCTGAGGGAAGCTCTTTTAAGGCATAGTTAAATGTCTTGAGGCAGCGTAACACCACGCTAGAGTTGTCCGACCTACGCCCTAGACCACTTTTCCTCAACCTGGGGGTAGTTACTTCCAAGGTGATGACATGGAGTTTTACGAGGTATGGGATAACTATAAGTACGAGGATTTGTTTATCAGTCTACCGCCAAACGAAATTAGTAACAAAATCACATGTATCAAAACGTTTAACTATCTAATCGCTATTGATTAGCCATCGGTGACTAATCATTAGTGTGTGGTCAATGATTTAGCTTTCTGTGGTATATTTCATTAGCTGAAATGCGATTAAAAACCTGCAAATTAGTGCAGCTAGATCACGCCTCTATCGGCTCGGTCGTCGATTGTTGTAGATTTGAGTCAGGCAGTCGTTCGCCGGGTCGAATTACCGAGTTGAATGAACACTAAGATTGAAGCATATCTCAGCCGATCAGGCAAAGAGCAGGCGAGTGTTTACACTGTAAAAGAAACAAAACAAGCAATTAGTATTCCGAACGTACCGAAACAGTGATGCTGAGAAGAAGTTGGAAGGGATAATTGGATCGAATGAGAAGCCACTGACATCGGGGTATATGTCTGATCAAGGGCCATACGAAAGGGGTCACAAAAAGCCTTAAATCGGGATAACAGCAAGCGTTATCAAGTGCACAAAGACATTGCCTTTGGGGTCACACTACCAAGGCAAGTAGAGCAGCTTGGACGCCACTGCTCATTTGCTGTTGGCTGATCACGTTTATCCACAATTGTTTTTGACTAGAAGCAAGAGCAAGTGATCGAGTTAATTCAACGGTTTTTCTTATCGATAATAATGAGCAAATGTTTACTATAATGTCACCTGCGTTACAGGAGCTTGCAATAACTCGCGTATATAGATGGTTGGCGACATCCGGTTACGGATTTGCCTGTCACTATGGCCAGCCACAGGACGCCTGCGCCTACAGAGGGACCATGGTTGGCTTGCGCTGCACCAATCACAGTTCCATCCACACACCCCATATCCAGTGTAAACCCGAAGGAATAAGACCGGGAGGCATGTGGATGGGAGCCACGTTTCATCAACGGAGCCGGCCCACACTCCTTCACAGGCAAACACAAGCACGTTGTATTTGGGGAATCAAGCGCACACAACGCGGTGGCTGGACCGTAGTCCGTTCCACACTGAGTGCATGGAACCACTCTTTGAGCTTAGCACGGCCACAAGGACCGTGCACCCCGTCCCCTCCGGCAACGACCAACTGTCTCCTGGAGCCAGTATGGACGAGGTAGTGGGTAATAGACAGGTAGGCACCTTGTCAACATGCACATCAAGCGCAGCCATACCGGGAATATCAAGCAACAGCCAACCGCTTGAAACGACAAGCTGAAATAAAATAAATCCAATAATGCATACAGATACGGTGGCATAACTCTTCTCTAAATAACTATATGAAGTATGTTGCTTAGCAACGAATCCACGATAAGTAAGAAATGTCCACAAGTTACTTAAAAATGCTACAAACACAACAAAATTACCGAAGATAAGCGCAATTAGCTTAAGCGACGTTGCAAATTAATAGAACATTATTCACGTAGGCAGAACAAACCAAATAAAGTGGGATGAACTTTATCCAGCACAAAAAGACCTAATTTAAGTGTAAGTTAGTTTAGCCCAACTGCGGTGAAGAAGCATCAAAAATGCGACAGCAGCCTCTGCATGCGGCACAGCGTATATATATATATATATATATATATATATATATATATATATATATATATATATATATATATATATATATATATATATATATCATGAAACTTCGCGGCTATCACCCGTAGTTTGGTGTGACAAGCGGCACAGCTGCTAATGGCCATGCGTTCGGATTCCGATGAAGCCGACAAATACGTACTACTAACAACTTCCGGTAAGACGAAACGGCCGTCTATTGATTTTACGAGCATGTAGCTAGCCATCTGATTCAGGGGTTGTTGCGAGTAAACCGCTGTATTCCCATGCCTGTTATTTGTATACTATAGTGTGACACAATGCGTCCGTACTCCGTTGGTGCCAAGTGATCACATGGTGTACTGCACCATCCAAAAACGATGCGGGTTTGACTTTTATCGTCTCATCTTGTTCCCTCTGTGTATGCTGCACGCATAACGTTGTCACACCCCACTCTGTTCACAGTCTCATGTGTCACAGACTAACATAATTTTGACTTTCTAGTTTACTGGGATTGACCCCATGCGAGCAGCATTATGCCTGCCATTATCGTCACACAACTCACAACACCGAAAGCTCACTGCTTCATCCAATGCCGCGGATCGATTAACCCGGTTGTCTTTTCACTACTACTTTCGGTAGTCACTTAAATGTTTGCACGTGCAGCACCATCACCGTTCTCTTGTTCTTGAATCCTTTGTTGTTGTTTTTTAACCATCGGTGTTAACCTGCTATCTGTGCTGTGGCATGTGAGCATTGTAACGATACTTTTCTGTGCCGCAATCAGTGGGAGATCCAGGCGATTCTGCGTTTTACTTCCCTTTATTTTTCACCATAGGACTTCGTTCTTTTTTACTTCTCTGCTCCCTGTTGCCATCTACGTCATCTGAATGGGCTATCTACGTCTACTAAATTAGTGGTTAACAGGCCTTTTCAGTTCCACTGCGATGTTTCAGTTTTTCCTCCCTCATCTTTAGATGTGTTCTCTTGATTCGAGCTTTGTACCGTCGATATTAATAAAGTCTTGATGGAGAGACCAGGGCTAGGGATAGGAACTTTTCCAATAACACCTCGTCAGCCCCATAAATTTACGCCACAGATTACGTGTTTTAAGGTCCAATTTAGGTTGAGGATTGTTTTTTTAAGTTGTTGAAACGGCCAAATCAATAACTCGAGACGTGACTACCGGTGGCAAGTCAGGCGAACGAAGCAAAATACACACAGCAAATCTTAGCAGCCAAAAGTAATTGGCTTGCATGACAGCCACATGATTGAGTAGCGTTGCCTCTTGACTTCGGTAGGGGGCATCGACCTTACCTAATTCCGGCTTCAAGTGGCAGCAATAGAGACAAAAGCTGTTTGCAGTAGCGTTCAGGTAAAGTGCAGATGATCTTGCCGTCAGTCTCAGATGCTGTATTGTCGTAATCAAGGTGTGACATGACACGACTGTTTTAGTACCTCTTTTCGCCTCTGTAGAGACATGGGATATGCTGGCGAATCCTTTGAGATAGGCAGGCGCCTCATAATGCGATCTGCGTACCATACGCCATTAGAGCACGAATACTTACACACACCAATCGGTATTCTGAGAGCTGTCTAGTTGAACTCCAGGTAGTTGTTGGTCAAACTTTGCGTGCATCTAAGCATTCCTATCACAGAAAGTCACTTGTTGTTAGTGCCTAAACGTTTCTCCTTATCAAACTATGTGTGCGTCACTTCACCAATATCATTTCGTTTGTACAGTGCTAGTAGTGAACTAAGGAGAAAATTTGAACCCGCTCTCACTGCACTTTTGGGAGAGATAGTGGTAATTAGTCTTCAGTAACAGGTTGGCGGACGAACTTCGATCTACGAAGAAGTTGTATGACCTCCATGAAGCTGATTGTTCTTTGTTTCACTTTATGCTTCATGTAGACCAAGATTCAGCAGCACGCTAAGTCCAAACGCTTGATCTAATGCCTATCGTCCGTCATCATCATCAATAGCAATACATCATTCCTTTGAACTGATATCTCGCTGCCGTAAAATCGCAATGATCTACGAACTGCAGAAAAGTAAGGGATGGAGGAACCTGGCGTAAAATCTTAATGTCCTGGGCAAACATTTAGAATCAAGACGTCTACACCCTATCAACAACATACCCTCACCAACAGCTGACTATCGCGCAAAGATGAAGAGGCCTTGGTGGGACAGCTTCCTTGCGGTTTCCACTGATCCATGTCATAATCAGTCATTACACAGCATGCACACACCAAATGATGAGACCACTCTGGACAGGTTATTCCATGTTGACTGGGTCACCCAAACATCGCTAAACAGTAAGACAGTATCTTCTGCATAATCAAGATCAACTAACTAGCTTTTCACCAGGCAGGCTATTCTCCGTGGGCGTCAATGGCTCAAATTCTTTGAGGACTCGAACCGCCTCTCCTCATGTTTCCCAAAATCATGGTTGCCTCCTCTGATTCCTGACATTAGCCCACAGTTTATGGGCATAGCCAACTACACATAATAGCCCTTTCTTTCGTCTCCTGTTTTGTAATTTCTCAGGAGGTCCATTTGGATTTTCCGACATGAATTATTCGGTACCGAGTTCGGGATCAGTACCGTCCGGACCTATACTAGCTCGTAGCCATGTCGGCTGCGATCATTTTCATTTCAACTCATCCGACCTCGGTATTTTTGGCCACTTGTTCGAGTATATTTTACTAATGTATTTAACTATGATACACGCCTTGCGTTTTCTCATTTGCGGCTACCTGCCACGGAATTCTCTAACAACACACTGTTTCGACACTATCCCATAACTTTTCTCATGAAACCTTTTTCTTTGAATTCTTCTGTGGTCGCTTACTCCGTATCCATGCCGACGAGATTACATGAAGTGCGTCTACCAGCTTTTCACACTTTCCAGATTAAGGAAAGTGAATTAG